AAAAGACAGTTGATGAAAGACTGCTTCTACCAAAGTATTCCCGGTAAGAAATGAAGAAGGAATGTGTCATGGATTGACATGTGTCCCCCCAAAATATGTGTCAATTTGTTTAGGCCAGGATTCCCAGTATTGTGTGGTTGTCCTCCATTTTGTGATTGATATAATTTCCCTACGCGTTATAAATCCTAATCTCTGCCTGTGGTTAATAAAGCAAGACTAGTTATGTTGAAGAGGATTAGGGTGCAATGTAACACCCTTGCCCCTTGGTCGGGTCACATCCTTGACCCAATGTAAAATGAGTGTTCCTGAGGCGTGGACTGCACCACCTTTTACCTTACAAGAGATAAAAGGAAAGGGAAGTGAGCTGTGGTGGGGGAAGGGGACCTCATACCACCAAGAAAGCAGTGCCAGGAGCAGAGTAGGTCCTTTGGACTCAGAGAAGCACCTAGTCCAGGGGAAGACAGATGACAAGGACCTTCCTCCAGAGCCAACGGAGAAAGCCTTCCCCTGGAGCTGATGCCCTAAATTCAGACTTCTAGCCTACTAGACTGTGAAAGAACAAATTTCTCTTTGTTAAGGCCATCCACTTGTGGTATTTCTGTTATAGTAGCACTAGCTAACTAAGACAGAATGATACACTATCAGAATTTTGTAGGAATTGATGGTATACTTCCTTAATGTGCTAAATAAATGTAAACTTCAGCTCCAAAGCCAGATTCTTACTTAACAGAGAAACACAAGGGCATTTCCCACTAAAGACAGGAACCAGATAAGGATACTCACTACCTCCACTACAATTTAACATTGTGCTGAAGGTATCAGCCAATACCACTGGACAAGAGAAAGCAATCAGAAGCATAAGAATTTAAAGGAAAAATGGGAATTTGCAGTTTATACAATTATATAGCTGAAAAAGCAAAAGAACCAATGGAAAAACTGCAGCAAACAAATCAACAGTTTTCACAGATGAACAAAATCAGTTATAAGACATAAGGAAAGACCTCATTTATATGTGTAAAAAAAGAAAAGAAAATATGTAAGCATGAATTTAACAAGAAAAGTCCCAAACCTTTATGAGAAAAGCTATTAAATACTCCTAAAAGACACAAAATAAACTTGAACAAATGGAAAGACAGACCATGTTCTTAGATAGGAAGACTCAACATCATAAAGATGTACATTCTGAATTAACTGATAAATGTAATCCAACCTCAATAACTTAAAAAAATTACTTTTTTCCCCTAGAGCTACACAAGTACATACATGCAAGAGTAGTTAGAAAAACCTGGAAAAAGTAAAGCAATTGGGAGTGGAGGTGACTAGCTTTATCAGACCTTAAGAGCTTGATTATAAAGCTTCTATAGATTAAACAGTTCATGCGTTGCATGAATAAACAGGCCAATGGAACAGAATAGAAAATCTAGAAGTAAATCCAGTATAGCTTAGAAGTATAAGATAAAATAGATTCTCAAATCCGTTGGGGAAAAATGGGCTTTTTACTATTGTCATTAGGACACCTGGATAGCCATGTGAAAAAAAGATATACTATACACCCCGTTCCACCAGACAAAATTCTAAATAGATTCTAAGAGATCTGTTCTAAAAACAACATAGAAGTAAACAAAACAAAACAAAAAAACTTAAGTAAATTCCTCCATAACCTGAAAGTGGGGAAAACATTCCTAACTATGACTCAAAATCTGAACACAATAAGAGAAGGAATTGATAAACTTGATTTCATAAAAACAAAGAACTTTCCTAAGGCAAAAGCAAGATTATAATCAAACTTAAATAACAGACTGGGGGAAAAAAGTTACAACTTATAAGCCAGACAAAGAGTAAACATTCCTGATAACCTAGTTTTTAAAAAAGAGAAAAGGCCAACAACCCTTGAAAAAAATAGGTATAGAGATGAAGAGACAAGTCATAGAAAAAGAAATGGAAATAGTTCTTATTCATATGAAAATCAAAGTAGCTTCTAGTTCTAAGTTATAGGAAATACAGGAGACAGAGGAACATGTTAAATGACACCACAGGAAATGCTATAGGATAAATGATCCAGCTTCTTCAATGAGTAAATTGCAAGATATCACTAAATAAGTAAATAAGTGAGAAGGAGAACCTACAGACTGAAAGAAACATATCAACCAAATGCAGTGTATGAATCCTGTATGGATCCTGATTCAAACCAAGTAAATGTAAAAAAAGAAAAGAAAAAAATTGAGACACTAAGGGAAATCTGGACACTGACTGGGTATTTGCTATTAAGGAATTATTGAATTTCTCAGATGTGATATGTCATTGTTAAAAAGTCTATCTTTTAGAGATACATTCTGAAATATTTATCGATGACATTCTATGAAGTCTGAGATTTGCTTCAAAAATCTGGGTGGGGGTGGAAGTACAGATGAAACAAGAATGGTGATGATTTCTGCAGTTTAGGGAAAAATGAGGGTTTACTGTACTAGTCCCTTTACCTTTGTATATGGTTGAAATTTCCCATTATAAAAGGTTTTAAAAAATTCTAGTGTCCTTGAATAATGCTGTGTTATATAGCTCAGTATTTTCTGAGGCTATAGAATGCTCTTCACACTAAACTCCTCTTGCTGATTCTTTTCAGATAAGTTATGGCTTTCATCTGAATCTTTTGTCTAGAAATATAAAACAACATACAAATCCTCACAAACTAATAGTTGTGGCTGAAATAACAAATGCTTTAGACTAAAATTTAATTTATTTTACATATGCAACCTGACTTTAAACTAGAAAAAGTTATATTACCTTTTAACTCATTAAAGATACAGTGGTTAGGAGTTAGCCTGCTAACCAAAAAGTTGGCAGTTCGAATCCACCAGCTGCTCCTTGGAAACTCTATGGGGCAGCTCTACTCTGTCCTATAGGGTTGCTGTTGAGTAGGAATCAACTTGATGGCAGCAGGGATTTTTTAAGGTAAGCTAAGGAGTCCCTGGGTAGAGCAAACGGTTAAGCACTCAGTTACTAGCCAAAAGGTTCACAGTTTGAACCCACCCACCCACCCAGAGGTGCCTTCAGGAGACAGGCCTGACGATCTGCTTCTGAAGGGTCACAGCCTTGAAGACTCTGTACACATGGGGTTGCTATGAGTCAGCATCGACTGGACAGCAACTAACAACAACAAGGTAAGCTATCACTTTAAAAAAACGAAATTCTACACTCAGATACAAACATAAGCAGCTGTATTACCAGAGTTGGCAGTCGCTAAGGGAAGTAAGCATTATCCGGCGTATTGCATTTCAAACTTGAATATGCGCCTTTTGTGGCTTTTCCACAAATTCTTTACTATAATTGGAGATTAGCAATGACAGAAGAGCATTTATTTGTTACTTCCTTCTCATTTTCAAGACTTTAGATAACACAACCCATGGTTTTTATGGAGATTTTCACAGATAAGATTACAGATCTAAATATGTGGGCTGAAGAGTGGTCTGGTCTTACCTGTTGCCGATACAGTGAGAGTTTGCCTTCAATTGGCTCATTCCTCATCATTTTCTTTTCAATTAGCTGATTGATTTCTGTGTTTATTTCATTTATCTAAGACAGTATGGAAGTGAAAAATGTTAAAACCCTCCCTACGATTACACAAACTAAATGACATCTGGCCAAGCCAAACTCTGAATTTAGAATTTTTAATAATCAGTGATTTGACACGAGGAGCAGTTTCATTAAGTCTATTGTTATGATTACTTTTAAAATTTACTAAAATTGTTTTTATGTGAAATATAAAATACTTACAAATTACCATCAAAAAAGAGTTTTCTAAAAATCGAAAGCTATCCACTCACCAAGGCAGTGACTTTCACGTCACTGAAAGCCATAAAGACAAGTCTGGACAAACATTCTCAGGGATTTAATAACTGGAACTCGTCAGTCCAGCTGAAAGTGGAGGGGGATAACACCTAAAAACCATTTCCGTTCTAATGACCTGCAATTTCATGCCGTCATTTATCCTGGTCATTTACCTAAACCTTTATAAAATGTAATAAAATAAAACTGACTAAAGTCAAAAGAAACATGTAGTCCTTGACAAATAATAATTTAAAAAATTACATGGCTTTCAGTATATTTATCCTTAGAAAAGACTAGGGTTCTTTTAATTCCATAACATTAAATTTGAGCCAAATCTGACTTAGACATCTAATTTCTCTAAAAAAGACAAAAAAAAAAAAAAAAAAAAAAAAAAAATCCATAGCTGTCGAGTCGATTCCAACTAGGGCTTCAAACCGGTCCTTCCCGGTTCAATCATGACGGAGGAAGCGACACCGGAACAGACCTGAATTTTTTTTTAAAATCTGGGTGAACCAGAACCGCAAGTGCAACAGGAAAAATTGTGGGTCGAAGCCCTGCTAGAAAACTTAATCTCCATCTTAGAAAACAAAGGCAGTGTACACACTGCATAGCAAACAAACCTCCTGCCTGTCAAATTTTGCACAGAGGCAGAAACAGCGGTACCCCGCTCAAAGAGGGCAGCCAATCACGCCGCTTTGAATGTGTCACTGTCCTCAGTCCTGGCAATAATCCAATTTCACACAGTAGGCTGTTGAAAGGGCTCACTAAGCCTCTTCCTTGTCTCCCATTAAAGCGCTTCAACCTGTAATTTTTCCCGTTCCGGTTATAGTTCCGGATCACCCAAATTTTGAAAATTCGGGTCTGTTCCGGTTCCGTTTCATTGGCCTTGACTGAACCAGTTCAAACCGGTTCAAAGCCCTGATTCCGATTCACAGTGACTCTGTAGGACAGAGTAGAACTGCCGCATCATGGGGTTTCCAAGACTATAAATCTTTATAGAGCAGACTGCCACATCTTTCTCCCGAGGAGCAGCTGGTGGGTTTGAACTGCTGGCGTTTTGGTTAGCAGTCAGACACTTAACCACTGTGCTACTATGACTCCTAATTTCTCTAAGTACATTAAAAAAGCAAAATGGTCAGAATTATGTATTTAATTGTAGTGGCTATTAAGTACATATTAAGCACATTAAGGAATTAGCAAGTCAGTCAATTTTCATACTTACTTGTTATTTAAAAAAATATATATATATGTTTGATTACTGCTCTATTTCTAGGAAACAAAAATGTTCTAATGTGACACCAGGTTTCAGTGAACATTACAACAAAGCTTGGTAATTCTAAGCCTGGCATAAAAGGCTAATAAAAAATATTAGCTTTAAATATAAAATTGCTATAATATTATCCTTGGAAATAAAAAGTAGCAATTTAAAATTTGTCATCTAAATGATTAAAGTACAAATAGTAAACCTATGAATCAATTCATACGCATTAATGTACATGTCCAAGTGACTCAGTTTCCTAATCAGGTAGCTAGGCTTTTATAAACTCATGAGCATTAGATAATAGCATTACATTCTGTAATTCCTCATAAAGAGAGTTGTCACTCTTGCACACGTTAGCTAGAGTCAAGAGTGGACACTATAGAAAGCACTTCACACAATTTTCACAGGACTGGGGATGAGATAAAACTGGGAGCTATAAAAAGTAGATAATTGTCACTTACCTTAGATTCAAGTTCAAGAAGATCAGAATGGCCCATAGCTGGCTCTGAAACCACTTTTTGTAAAAAATGCAATTCTTTTTTCTTGTTCTCTAATTCCTTAGGAAATTTTTCAGTTACCATGTATGAATTAAACTTGATCTCCTCCTCTAGTCTCTTCATTAAGCCTTCAAAAATAAAAACAATGACTATTCAGCCAAAAAAAGTAGCATATAATGATTTTCTGTACATCAGCACTGTTTTGCCTATAAGACTTGAATAGTAAGGCATACCTGTTTAGAACATTCCATGTAATATTTAGAAAAGTACAATAAAAGATTGGCCAATGAAACCTTCTGATGGTAGTTAGAATGATAACAGAAAAGCAAATTAATTTATATGGAAGAATATTTAAATAATTATAGAAAAAAGTGGTATGATTTTTCAAAATTACAACCTAATTATTTAATACCTCACAATATGCAAAAATAACATCCATTGGTCGGATATATTTTTTGGTCATATTTTACCTTCTAATTATTTAAGAAATCCATGAACTAAATGACAACACTCAAATGAAATCTAACCCAGGCTCTCTCTCATAGAAGAAAGTAATCATTTATTCTTTTATAATACTTCTGATATAATTTATATTACTATTCTAATATTTCATAAATGGTATTACAAGTTGTCAAATTCAAACCAGTGAAGACATTACTAAAGCTACAAGTTAAAAACCTGAAAAACAAATTATCCATGCTCATAAATGTTTTAGGCTTTCCTTGTTTTAGTAGTTTTTGATATTATAAAATATTAGCTTACAGTTAAGTGGCAACTTAAATTACACTTCTAAGATTTAATAGTTTTCTTATTTTGGCAAAGTGCACAAATACACACACGCAGATATTCAGTGAATAATAGTTTTGTTATAAATTCCCAGCCTAGAGAGCTTTAAAAAGTCCATTTCAGATCTTTCCATTACACATCTACAAATTCTGGTTTGACGTTTTAAAATAGCAGGTTTCCGGTTTAAGTAATCTACGTACGTAAATTGCATAATAAATCTGGCCCAAAGCCTTAAAATTATTTTTACTTCTGTCAACCATATATTAACTATGTAAAAATTTATCGATGACAAATTCACAAGTTTTCCATTCATCTCTTCAACTTCCCTCCTTTTTCTGGGATTTTGGAGGGAAGGGAGAGCGTTTAGTCAATCACGCTACTATTAAGCAGTCATTCCTATGTGGTTCCCAAATAAATCTACTTCCTGACTTCTCTGGCTATTAAGATAACCAGCTTTTCCACCTTCAAATTCTTAAACATGCCATGCATAATCAGAAATGCACGCAATCAAAGCCTAAAATGTTCTTAAAGATTTAAAATTCCTAAATAATATTTTCTCTATTAAAAAGAAAGTTCCCAGTTTTGGAAAATGCAAACTAATCTGTAGTGACAGAAAGTAGATCAGTGGTTGCCTGGGGCTGGGTGGGGGACAGAGAGGGCCAGGGGTGAAAAATTAAAAAAGGGCACAAGGAAACGTTTGGCGGCAGTGGATATGTTCATTCCTGTAATGATGGTGATGGTTTCCCCAGTGTACACACACGTCAAAACTTATCAGTGGTACACTTCAAATATGTACACTTTATTGTATGTCAATTTTACTGCAATAAAGCTGTTAAAAAATCATAAAAAGAGTTTCCATCAAATTTTAAAATTATTCTCTTAAAGAATTTAACTTAGACCTTACATTTCTTTGCGAATTCTTGCTGTTCTTGCACTGTTTCGTTTCTTTATAGAAACCCTGGTGAAATTAAATATAAGGTCACTAAGATCTCAGCAAATGTTTTAATTAAAAACCCTCTGGAAACATCTCACTGATCCTAGTATAACTGAATGAGTGGCTTCTTTTATGTAATAAATCTCACTAATGTGCCCAGTGAAGCCCTGGTGGCACAGTGGTTAACAGCTTGGCTACTAACCAAAAGGTCGGCAGTTTGAATCTACCAACTGCTGCTTGGAAACCCTATAAGGCAGTTCTACGCTGTCCCATAGGCTCGTCATGAGTCAGAATTGACTGGCCGGCAACAAGTTGGCTTTTTTTTTAATTTTTTGTATTTATGTGGTTGATTACGTTGATTGATTTTCTAATGTTGAAGCATCCTTGCATACCTGGTA